GGCGGTCTCTACATGTTCCTCCTCAACTAACCTCATTCTGATGCCAAGTGCACGCTTGTGTGACTCGGCAGCTGATGATAGATAGATAGATAGTTAATTTATCCAAATAACGCCGAGAAGCATGTAGCATACTCTTTTACAATGCACACGTGTATTTACAAAATACTGAAAATAATAAAGATTGCATAAGTATAAAAGACTATGAATAATCATGTACAGGGCACGATAACAAATTCTTATTATGGTGCTTAGCAATAAATAAATGGCACAAGGTTTAATTTGTTTACTATACTCCTAAGAGTATTCTTATTACCAGTAATTTTAAGCATTGCCTGGTAAAATATCATTGAAAGGTGGCTGGCTATGGATGCAAAGGAAAAGTGACGATCTCTGTAAGAGCGATCCGGGTCATTTCGCATCGGAACAAAGTTTTCCCTCAAACTTTATTACGGTGGCCCACAACTGTCACGGCAAAACAAAAAGTCACGGCACTACAAACTTTACTCACAGCAAAACAAAATTAACTCACGGCAAAACATGCACCGCTAATCCACGGCAAAACAAAATTAATTCACGGCAAAACATGATTAACTCACGGTAACACAAAATTAACTCACGGCAAAACAAAATTAACTCACTGCAAACAAAACTAACTCACGGCAAAACAAAATTTACTCACGGCAAAACAAAGAAAACGAGTTGGTCAGCGCTTGTTATTTGCATCTTAAATGGTACGTCGTGTAACAGTACCACTATACGTATGATGCACGATCCTCGCAGTAGAGAGCACTATTTATGCAATAGCGAAAATCGGACCTGAAAAAAATCAGACCTGTACGGGATTCGAACCACTAACCTCTGCGATACTAGTGCAGCGCTCTACCAATTGAGCTAACAAGCCAACTGCGAGCAGGCCGTTAAGTTGATTCGTAATAAACCCGTGATAATAAATCAGATACAATGAATATATGAAGTTCATATATTTTGAACTGGGGTATTAGATACATATGATGCACGATTTTCAGGTCTGATTTTCGCTATTGCATAAATAGCGCTCTCTACTGCGAGGATCGTGCATCATAAGTACTACTATCTAAACAATCGGTCTCAATTTGTCAAGATTGGCAATACTAAATCCAACTGTGAAACTATTACTTGTGGAATACCACAAGGATCAACCTTGGGTCCACTATCATTCCTGTTATATATTAGTGATATGCCTAACTGCTCTAATAAGTAATATCTGTAATTCTGGTTGGCTGCAGAATTTGGGGTTGAAAATAAAATGTACCCAGAGTGCTGAGAAAGCTATCTGCATGTATCAGGATGTAATTCAAACTTGAGGAGATCTAAGTTAAAGTCTCCCAACAGAACACAATATTTGTTTTCACGATGTATACTTTCTACTATCGTATTGACGTGATTTAGGAAATCATCTACATTGCCATGGGGGTGTCATATTGTTTTGAATTTCAATCCATAGAGATTCGTGATCATTTTGCTTTTGGGCAGAAAGATCCAAGCGATTAATATATGCAAGATTATCCTTCACATAAAAGCCTACCCCTCCAGCATTGGTACAGCTTGGTTGAGACAAAAAGTTATAACCAGTTATATTAATATTTACTAAAGCATCTCGATCATTCTTTAACTTTGTCTCAGTTACACCTAATACAGATATAGGGAAATATAATT